GGAATTAAAATAAAACAATTTTTTAAAAAGATTTTTTATCTTTACTACTTGCATGCTGAAAATTATGACAAAGTAATCTCTAAGCCCAAATACTTAAAAAGACCAAGGAACTGGACCTGAACCAAATAATACTGCATGTTACATTGGGATTGGAAGCTAGACCAGTAACGCATTCCTCAAAACACAAACATATTCCACAGCAGGAACATACAAAACCCAACAAGGCGGTGAACCAAAGTCAGCCCATAATATCCCCAAAGGAATAATCTTCACACTTAGCAACTCACTCTGCCTTCATGACTCAGAGATGATAGCAGTGTGCTCACATATGTGTGTGTGCATGTGTGTGTGTTTACACGTGGGTTAGTCTTTAGTCCTTTGGACAAGTTTTTTTTTTTAAATATTCATTAAATATTAGCTTGCCCCTTACTTCACTTCACACATTTCACTTATACCCATCACACTAACTCTTAGCAGGATTTCAAAGTTAAGCCTTTCCTGCAGAACAAGGAAACAAGAAGTTTTTCCTTGTATCCCCAGAATATTCTTTGGTCTTGTGCTATTCTCATTATGGCCTCCTACAGTCGTATTTTATTTCCTTTTCATTCTTACTTTGTCTTGCATTGGCTGAATCCAGAGCCAGCCACAAAAACCAATGTAGAAACAGATCCTTATGGATTCAAATGTACTCTGGTCAAAACTCAGTGTCTTGTCTTTCCCAGTCTTCCCGGAATACCTCCCTTTACTCCTTCAGAAGCTTTAATTTATATATATATATATATGTGTGTGTGTGTGTGTGTGTGTGTGTGTGTATGTATATAAAGCCATAAGTCAGAAAATGAGTTAAAACATCTGGCACCCAGAACCAAAACAATCTGGTTCCCCAGGTATCAGGAAAAGAGAAAATAGTTTTTAAAGTGATTTTCCAGGGGCGCCTGGGTGGCTCAGCCATTAAGCGTCTGCCTTCCACTCAGGTCATGATCCCAGGGTCCTGGGATCGAACCCTGCATGGAACCCTGCATGGAGCCCTGCATGGAGCCCCACATGGAGCCCTGCAACAGGCTCCCTGCTTGGCAGGGGGCCTGCTTCTCCCTCTCCCACTAGCCCCCACCCCGCTTGTGTTCCCTTTCTCACTGTCTCTCTCTGTCAAGTAAATAAATAAAATCTTTTTAAAAAATGATTTTCCATTCCACATGAGCTTATTAATGGAGCTACATTTGTCTTGTCCTTACTGCTTGGAATATGGCAAGAAAGCAATATTCTTATAGAGATATTGGTGTATGAGAAGAAAAAATTCCTATTCCTTCTACCTTCCTAGGTTCTGCAGCTAGGGCCTTATAAAATAAAACTAACAAAAAACAGATTAAAAAGAAAAAAAAAACAGTTTATTAATGCATGCAGCACATATCATGCAGGAGAAACCTCAATAAAGAGTAATTCAAAGAGGTGGTTAGATCATGGGCTCACATAGCATCTTAACAAAAATACAATAAATTTGTGCAGAAGAGACAGGACAAAGGAAAAGGAATTTAGGTTTCCAAGGGTAGCAAACTGCAGGAAGGTAAATATGTGTGGGAAACTAATGCAGTAGGCTTCATTTCTGCATCTGTTGAATCTCATCTGCCTCCACATCAAAATAATCCCCATGTCAAAGTAGTATATTTTGGAATGGAATATTTTAATCCTTTAACCTAGTATTACAGAAGAGATCTGTGATCTGTGATAAATAAAATGTGCATTCAGAAGTATTTCCAGTGCTCATCAATATCTCCCCTTCTTGGATATACAGCAAGATTTTATTTTCTTGCACCCTTGAAATTAGGCATGGCCATGTGACTTGCTCTGGCCAAATGAGAGAATCATTTAAGTTCTGGTGCATGATTCTCCTTTCTCTCCTTCCTGTGTTCCTGCACACCCTGCAAATCCATGCTGAGATGATAGTGTCTTAGGATGGTAGAACCTTCATCACCCTGGGCTCCTGCTTACCTCCTGCTGTTTTAAACACTGAGATATGGGGCTTGTTTATTTTTACAGCATAAACAACTTTCCCTGACTAATGTAAAAAATAGACAGTCTGCTCTGAAAATCCAGGATTCTAAGACTTGGGAGAAGAATTCACTTTATCAGTAGTTTTCTCTCTTCGTGTGTCCTCATGACATTCGAATTCTGCATATGTATCTCAGGTCATTTGAGATTAGTTTTATCACAATTAGGGGGTTGAGAAGAACTGGAATAAGAAGGAACCAGATGAATAAACAATACTAGGCTTCACTTTGACTTACTTGCTTTACTTACAATTACATTTCTGCCTGTTGTCTGGTGTGACCCTGCACGTATGAACTGCTTTTACTTTACATAATGGAACCACCACGATTCTCAAAGCCTATACAGCTCTCATCCTCCCTTTCCACTTGTTGGAAAACAGGGCGCTGATTTTAAGTCTTATCCATTATCTCTAGTTAGAATATCAGCTCTTCGGGGCGCCTGGGTGGCTTAGTCGGCTAAGCGGCTGCCTTTGGCTCAGGTCACGATCCCAGGGTCCTGGGATCGAGCCCCGTGTTGGGCTCCCTGCTCAGCGGGAAGCCTGCTTCTCCCTCTCCCTCTGCCTGCCACTCTGCCTACTTGTGCTGTCTCTCTCTCTGTTAAATAAATAAATAAATAAATAAATAAATAAATAAATAAATAAAAAGAGTATCAGCTCTTCATCTGAAGACTGTTACATGTGATAGAGCACAAAGGGCATTTCATCTCTGTTATACTTTTTATAAAAACCCAGGAGTACTGACAAGTACTCAAGAGTGTTAAGGTCATGAGAAACAAGGAAAGACTAAGAAACTATCACAGACCACAAGAGACAAGGGAGATATGACAATGCAATGCAATATGGCACCATGAATTCGATCTTGGAACAGAGAACATTAATGAAAAAAACTAGTGAAATCCAAATAAAGTCTGGAATTTAGTCTACAATAATGTGTCGATATCACTTTCTTAGTTTGGGCAAATGTATTATAAGATATTAACAATGGGGGAAACTGGATGAGGGGTATACAAGAACTCTCTGTACTGTCTTCACAAATTTTCTATAAATCTAAAACAATTCAAAAACAGAATTTTTATTTTTATTTATTTTTTTAAAGATTTTATTAACTTATTTGTCAGAGAGAGAGAGTGAGAGCGAGCAGCAGGCAGAGGGAGATGCAGGCTCCCTGCTGAGCAGGGAGCCCAATGCAGGACTCAATCCCAGGACCCTGGGATCATGGCCTGAGCTGAAGGCAGACGCTTAACTGCCTGAGCCAACCAGGTGTCCTGCAGAATTTTTATTTTTTAAAAATAGACAACTGAAGGATAGACTTACCATTTGTGCATATCTATCCTTCCACCACATCTTCAAAAAAAAAGCCATAACTATATTCCTATGTTTCTAAAAATAACGATTTCTCCTACATCTAGAAATAAGGGGAAATATTCATTAACCTTCCTCTAAGAAAGATAAAGAGAATATTCTTGCTTATGAGAGTATTTTCCACATGCAAAAAGAACATTTTTCAAAATTCATTTTTCTTGATCTCCCTTCTTCCCTATGTGCTCATATCACCTTGAGCTGTTGCAAAATTAGTGTTTTGAAAAATGTCTCTAAAGAGAAGAAGGGCAGGGCTGATCGAGACCTAGGGAAGGATATTCTGAAAGGGAAGTCAGGTGGAAACTGGAGCCAGTTGTGTAGGACATGGTATAAGTAAAAGGTAATAAGAAGAGAAGAAGCCAGAGATAGAAGACAGAAAAGGTAAGTTGAGCAGAAGGGTGAGTTGATAGGAGCCATGATGCATATAACTTCAACTGTAAATTGCATAACTGGGACCAATTTTTGGTTTCTGAGCTGGCCAGGAGAGGCTAGATGAGACAGAGAGATATAGGTCTACCTGCCCATAGTGTCTATAAAACTCCTAAGCACCACAGGTATACCCTAGCGGGCTACGAGGCAGGCCATGCCAGGGGAGAGGTCTAGAAGACATTATCTGTGGGTTATGACTGCCTCTTGGTCACCCCCAATTACTACATGTTACGGTCTTAATTATATATGGCCAAATTAATATGCTGAAGCCCTAACCCCCATTTACCTCAGAAAGTAACTCTATTTGGAGACGGTTGGAGATGGGTTTTTAAGGAGGTAGTAGTTAACCCGAGGCCATTAGGGTAGGCCCTAATCTAATCCAACTCGCGTTCTTAGAAGAGAAGGAGATTAGGACACACAAAGGGATGACCATACAAAGAGGAATCAAGAGGAATGTCATTTATGCACCAAGGAGACAGGTGTCAGGAAAACAACTCTATGGACACTTTGATCTTGGACTTCCAGTCTCCAGAACTATGAGAAAATAAATTTCTGTTCTTTAAGCCACTCAGTGTGTAGTAATGAGAGCCCTAGCAAACTGGTACATGACGTGATGTCTTCTCTACATTCCGAGTAACCAATCCCCACTTTTCCTCTCTGGTCTTTATTTTTTTTAATATAAGATGCAATCAAAGTAATGGATAATAAATATCCTAATATGGATATTAGACCCAAAGTCTTAAGTTGGACCATTCTAAAAATGCGTCATTTCATCATTTCCCTTTATATCCTTGGAAATTATTGAAAATACTGTGAAAGTCATGTATTTTTGTTTTTATATGTGTGTTTTACATGAAACAGCTGCTCCTAACATAAAAACTATTGAGATAAGAACTTACTACCACACTAAAACAGTGGATCTGGGCCTTTTGGGAGGTCATATCTCCTTCTGAAAATACGATAGGACATCTTGCCAAATTTGCACACACATATGTATACATCAACATGCACACACCCATCTACAGAAATTCAGGGAGTTCACAAACCCCCTGTTGCTCATCCACATATGCCCAAGCTCCAGGAGTCTCTTTGCACTCAGTTTCATAGTTCTTGTCCAAAGAAGTTAGTAAGAATCACATAATCCATAAAAGGGCACCTGTAAACCTACCTGCCAGGCTGAATTTGCAGAGTAGAAGGAACATCCACAGTGCCCAGGCCCACATTGTCCCCAGGTTAATGCAGGCAGGCTGAGGAGAGAACTGAAAATGTCATCAGTCAAAAGTTAGTTTCCTATCTCTTTTAAACAACTCTATTTCCAGTGATAGATTCTGGGGGTTTTAAGGAAGAATCCTTTATTTTTTTTTAATTTTTTTCCTTATTTTGTATTTTTGGCTATCATCACACAGATCCCTTTACAATTACTTCATCAGCCCCAGTCATCATTTAATTTGTCCATAATTCATTCCACTATGTAATATGAAAAGTACACCAGCCACCAAGAAATAAAGTACTGTGAGTCATATAGATCTGAGACCATCATCTGTTCTCTGCCTCAGGCCCTACACTGTGGCCAAATGGAATGACTCCTAATTTCCGCAAAGTGCCATGGTATTTCACATCCCTTATTCCTCTTATTCCTCTAAGTAAGTACCTACTGATACAAGATAGACATACAATATTGTTAATGGACTTAATTAGAACAAAAAGGCTACTGACTCTTTATCTCATCCCATAGAGAGATGGTGGGATAATCTAGAGTTAAAGCAAATGAAAAAGCAATAACTCATTTCTGGAAAAAAAAAAAAAAAGGACTCCAAATTTCATCTGACAGATCATTATAGGAAAAAAGAAACAGTTCTCAACAAAATAAATCATTTGAGAAAAAAATCACATGCATCATTTCTGGAGAAAACCACCAGGATAAAATGTTCTCACCAGGATAAAATTGAAACATCTTATTAATTGAAAATGCCTATGGCAATAAAGCAGAATGAAAACTTGATTTAAATGAGTATAAAATAAAGGGAAATTTTTAAATTTTTTAATGAAGAATAAGTGTGTTCTTCAAAATTAATCGTAACACCAATAGTATTTGTCAGTGCCTAATTATTCAGAATATCGTCTTAATTTTCTCCATTTCTTAGCTGGAAGACATACCTTTACACTAGTTCTAAAAGCATTCTGGAAAGGCAGGGAGGTCCAACCATGAAAACTCTATAAAAGCTATGAAGCTCAAATTCTCAATAAATAAATAATTATGGATGTGAAAGCTAAAATTATTATTCTGACATGGGGTTTTATTTTTTAAAATCTTATCAATATTAACTGTTGAATAAAACATTTTAAAATTAATGGAAATTACTGCTTGCCTCCTTTAAAATGAGAATACTCATCTATTATTTGTGAATTTTAAAAAAATCCTTCTCAAAAAAATCAACAGTATTAAATCATACTCAGAGACAAAATTAGAAAAATTGCAGTAGTTGGAGAGGGGCATTCTAGAAGATGACACTGCCTAAGTGTTCTAGCCCTGGCACCCCCTTGAATCAGCTGGTGACCTCAGGTATTCTCTTATTCATTTAGCAGTGTCCCAGCCATACATTAGGTGCTTGGAATAAAAGATGATCCTGTCCCCAACTTCACTGTAGTTCAATGGTTTTTAACAAGGAGAAGGGAGTCAGAGGATGGGGAGGATGCAAAGTAAGCTACTGTTACTGATGGCTCTGTATCATATCCCTCCAAATGGGTTTGAGAAGAAAAAAAGTTTGAGAACCATGGATCTACTTGCAGAGACAGAAGTGTGGATACTAATGGTAAATATCACATGGTAAGTGCTGTAATTATAATAGTGCAACAAGAGTACAAAGCATCTGAGACAAATGAACCAAAGACTATGGAAAGCCAACAAGTGGTGCTAAATAATGATGCCCCTCATTCTACCACTTTCCTGCCCTCTAGTGCCTTTTCCCCTTCCCCTCACACACCAGAGGACCATCACAAAGTGATTGCTTGTGGGTAGTGAACATGAACAAATCTGAGGTGCCTCCGAGGAACTTAGCAGTAAGTTCAAATGGGAGTTTAACTAGCAAAATCTGTGTACGAAGGCCATCCTAGTTATCTTTGGGAGTAAATCAGGGGGTAAATATGCAGTTGTAGAGCTTGGGTTCACTCTAAACTCCAGGCAAGGAAATCTGGGCATAATCTCAGACAGGTGGATCTGGAAAATCATTATCACTTAGTTGCAGGGAACTACTTGACTAATTGTATCTCAAATAGAAGGAGACTGTGAGAACACAAACAACAAGCTTCAGACTTTAAAATGTTGATGGTTAAAAAAAGAAGTTGGCCAAGTTTATCAGTACTATCTCCTGGAGGAAATGATGAAATTTCCTGGTACTGGAACAAGTCAACCCATCAGACCTAACCACAGTCTTGATGAAAGAAAACTCAAAACCAAAAATCTCCACCATTGCTGTGAAGCCTTCTTTGATGATTAATTTAGAGGAGGAAACCCTGAACAAGGGATGTGAGTCATTAGACAGACCACGCTCGGGGCACCTGGGTGGCTCAGTCTGTTGCACAACCAACTCTTAGTTTCGGCTCTGGTAATGATCTCAGGGTTGTGAGAGGGAGCCCTAAGTCGGGCTCCATGCTTAGCAGGGAATCTCCTTGAGGATTCTCTCCCTCTGCCCCTTCCCCCACTCATGCTCACTCTCATTCTCTCTCTCGCTCTTTCTAAAATAAATCTTTAAAGACAAGAATCCCCCCACTCCCTTTGAGCACAGTAAAGGTGTCACCTGTTCTCTGGACAGTAGTCATATTCTTAGTGCCTCTTCTAATGAGACAATTAGAATTCATGGTTTAAAATCTGGGAAAACCCTGAAGGAATTTTGCGACCATCCCTCCTTTGTTAATGAAGCAACTTTTACACAAGATGGACCTTATATTAGTGCATCCTCTGATGGCACTGTAAAGATCTGGAAGATGAAGACAACAGAATGTTCAAATACCTTTAAATCCCTGGGCAGCACTGCAGGGACAGATATCATGGTCAACAGTGTGATCCTGGTTCCTAAAAACCCAGAGCACTTTGTGGTGTGCAACAGATGAAATAGAGTGGTCATCATGACCATGCAGGGTCAGACTGTCAGAAGCTTCAGCTCTGGTAAGAGAGGTGGTGGTGATTTTCTTTGCTGCGCCCTCCCTCCCCGTGGTGAATGGATCTACTGTGTAGGGGAGGACTTTGTGCTCTACCGTATTAACACAGTCACTGGCAAGCTGCAGAGAACTGGGACAGTTCACGAGAAAGATGTGATTGGTATTGCACATCAGCCTCATCAGAATTTGACTGCTACCTACAGTGAGGATGGACTCCTAAAGCTCTGGAGACCCTAATTCCACTTTTTTTTTTTTAAACTCGCTGAGAGCATGTACTTAAGTGAAGACATATTCATGTATTGCTTTTTTTTTTTTAGGCTACCTTTTCTCAACAATTATCTGAATGTAGGCACAAGAATAATTTTGTGAAAATTCATGTTCAAAAAAAAAAAAAACCCCATCAGTCTCTTGGGAGTCTAAATGAGGTATCTCACCCTCCCTAAGGCTGAGCAATTCTGGGGTGTAGCAAGACTCTGGGTCCTAGGAAATTCACAAAGATTATGCCATGCTCGCAATGTCCACAATAGCCAAACTATGGAAAGAGCCAAGACGTCCATCAACAGATGAATGGATAAAGAAGTGGTGGTATATATATATACCAGCTCGATCCCAGGACCCTGAAACCATGAAACCAAGAGTCGGATGCCCAACTGACTCAGCCACCCAGGCACCTCAGAAATGTTTTAAAACAAGATACGTTTTCCAAACTCATGTTTT